TTAGTTTTGATGCAAAAACGCATGATCGCACCGGCTCGCCTGGTGCGTTCCAGCCTTTGTTTCAGCTAGTACCGTGCAGCCAAAATGTGCAGCCTTTCTGGCACGCAAAGCTTCCTGGGTTAACTTATGTGAATTTGCAGATTGGCCCAGGCATTGTTCACATGCTCTTCGATTTCGGTTGGCTTGGCCGTGGCGTAGTTCTGCAGCACATCACACCAGAAGAACCACTACTGCAGCGTGCGCGTTTTGTGATGTATGCAAATATTCCTAAACTATATGCAAATTTTTTCTTACTGTGCGAAGCGAATCACGTACGTCTCATTTTCTGCTTTGATAGGTTTGCATACCCTATTGCAATGCGTAAATTTTCGGTAACTTCTAAAACTCGGCTCGGCTGGCCTAGGCTTACTTGGCTCGTCGCGGCTGGACCCGCTACATCATTTGCGATCTGATTCGCGGATGATTTGGTGGGTAGGGCGTGAAAGCTACCGTGTACGGGTGGTGGGTGCGGGGACAAGAGGGATAGGGGGAGGGGTTAGTTTGGTGAATTGAATGGAAACGTGGCGGGCCGCGTAGGGGGGAGGGGGTGATGGGCGGGAACGAAGAGGATCCGTGCTGCCGGTTTCTGCCGCGGATACGCGGGGTAGAGAAGCGGCTCAAGAGGGAGCACACTGCAGAGGGCACAGAAGGGGGAAGGAGGGTTGGCAATGCATGAGCACATTTTTTGGTGTCGGATTCAAAACACAGAGAGGGAGCTGAGATGGGTATGAGAGGGTGGGTGCGTGTGAGTTTCGTGCGCAGGGATTCGAGGCAGCGTAAGGAGGTTGGATGGGTACACTGAATGGCTACGTGGCGTAGATTCTTTGGCAGTTGCCTAGACGATGTAAGAGAGAGAGGAGCGGTGATGGCTGGGAAGGAGGAAGGCAAGAAAAAAGTAAAAGCAAGAAAGTAAAAGCAAAAAAAGCTCCACCATCAATAGGGAACATCCCCATCTATAAAACTGGTGCTTAGGTGAAGGAAGCTGGAAGCGAATAAGGTGAAGCTAATGCTTAGGCAAAGCTGAAAGCTCTCAGCTTTACCTAAGCATTAACTTCATAAATACGGAAGCTTTAAGCAAACGAGGAACCCGTTATCTGCAAAGGGCCTCCCCAATTATGAAGCTGATGCTTAGGTAAAGCTGAAAAAGTTGAATAGATGATGCCTAGGTAAAGCTGAGAGCCCTGAACTTTACCTAAGCATCAGCTTCATAAATAGGCTTGTTCCCCTCCTCTATCCTGACCCCAACCCGTGCCCCTTAAACTGCAACCAACACCCCCTCCTTCACCTACGTGCAATCCCCTCCCCTTCCCGCCACTCCTCCAGCGCACGAGACCCAACAACCAAGCGACGGGTATCGCTACCTGGCGCACTTGGCTGAGTGCCAAGAAGCAGCGACGGGACTCGCCGTGAAAAAGTGTTAGCGATGACGGTAGAGTAAAACGGCCGAGGCGAGCGAGGTGAGCCGGAGAAGCCAAGTCGACTTTTACTAATCGCCATGTTCTTAAAGTTATGGCATAGGCGAGTACTTGCTGCGTAAAATGACGGTCATTTCTTCCAAGTTCATGGGTAAATCGGACCTGGGTCCCACCGCCACGAGACACATCCTTCGCGATCTTGCTTTAGCTACTTGACCACATGCTTAAATGCCTTCCAGCCAAAAGTAGGATGTTCCTTCGGCAATTACGAAAGCTCGGCTCGGCTAGTGATGTATGGTGCTTTCGCTTTCCAGCGCTTTACCCTATCATCTCTGCCAACACTATTTCGCGGCGTCGCTCGCTGGAACTTTGCCAGATGCGCTGGGTAGCGCAACCCAGTGCCTGGCCGCTGGATCACGTGACCGCGGGGAAAATGGGTGGGAGGATTGGGCGTGGTTGAGGAGTGTTTGTTGGTAGTTGTCTAGATACAGCTCAAAGGGTGCGATTGAGGCCAGGATAATGGGAGGGATGAAGTTGCTGGTTAGGAGTTCAGGACGATAAACGGTAGTAGTGGTTGAAGATGGTGGGTGCCCCGATGCTCTAGAGGCAGGAATTGGGGACAGGATACAGGAGGAGAGTGTCAGTGATGCTCCATAAGGTTATAGTGCTTTTGATGCTGTGCGCACACAGCAATCCACAGGGACTGCCCAAAAGATGTAACCTTGTGTCAAGGAATTCCTGATAAACTGAACATCGCAAGCCAGCTTGGAACGTTCACCGCATGAAGACATGCTGTCCAGGGCAAGGAGTGCGGACATAGCTATGCACAGCATGTGAATTTGTCGCAGTAATATTGCGGGCTTTTCAAAGAGAGCTCAAATCTTTCGCCTCAATTCAGACTGATCGCTTCTATTACAACTTAAATGTTCCTCACCATTCCCTCAATCTTACAAATTTCTTGCTCAAAACAGATATGTGTGAAATTGGCGGGCATGGTACACTGGCAGAAAAAAAGAATCGAAGGTGCAAGAAATCAAAGAGTCACTTTCGGGTGATTGATTTTGACACATCATACACTCATGCTTCCTACTGAGAGTGGATTAGGGAAGCGTTTTGTTTTCCGACCCAGACTTAATTACTTGAAAATGACTCTGTAGAAGAGTATAAGGAGAGCAGACAATAACACGCTGAAGGAAAAAGAAGAGGGTAAGGTAGAGAATTAAGGGTTTAGCAAAAAGAGAAGGGGTCCAATTTTTTCTTAAGATTCTATAATACTCTTTGAGGTGATAGTATTTTTAATCCTGGATGCCCGTAACAATCCGCTTAATATCACCAACACAACCACAGTGTTAGCTGCTACAAACTGTCACCGATGCCAGTATCATGATCCATCAACGGAAAATTTTGGGAATTCATTAATGACACATGGCTGCATTCAACATACAGCAGTACGCCAGTAATACTGAGGGCTTTACAAAAACTGTGTAGGCATTTAGCTTAGCATTTCCGACTGTTAACTTCGACCACAATTAATTCATTCTCTGAAAAAGTTTCCCCAATGCAAGAACGAGAATTTTTCTCTCACTTGAGCGACCGTCAACATTCCTCAGCTTTATAAATTTCCTGACGGAAACAAATACATGTGAAAGTGGCGGACATGGCACATTGGCATGTACCATTGCAAGAAACCGAACGTTCTGCCCAGCAGTGAGGCAATCAAATCCTCTACGACTCGTTCGTTCGTTCCTTTTCGATGGTAAATTGATGCCGTAAGGTCAAACTTTCCAATTAGCCGGTACTGAAAGTCAAGCATATCGGGAGATTTCGACTTGCCATCAGCTTGCTTTCAAGAGTTACCTGCATGAGGCAGTTGACGACAGCCTTGCCAGTAGGTGTTCGTTGTTGGCACATACTGTCCACTCGAGCTACTTCAGAGCGCCTCTACTTTTTATACAGAATGATTCTGATTTTTCGCTTAAACTTCGGACGAAAAAGCAGCCTTTTCAAATTCCCAGTTTTTTATGCGTTTTGTGCTGTGTAGCAGCAGTGCAAAACGCATATTGTTACGGGGTTGTCTGTGTGTGTTTGTGTGTGTGTGTGTGTGTGT